TGAGGGTTTGTGTTGAGAAGTCTGCTGTGATTCTGATGGGCTTTCCTTTGTAGGTGATTTGTTTCTTTTCTCTAACTGCTTGTAGGATTTTGTTTTTCTGTTGGGTTTCTGGGATCTTGACTACTATATGTCTAGATGTAGATTTTTTTTGATCATGGCTAGTTGGAGTTCTATGTGCCTCACTTACCTGTATGTCCAATTCTCTACCTCTGCCTGGGAAGTTTTCCACTATTACTTCTGTGAACAGTTTTTTTATGTCAATTTTGCTTTCTCCTGTTCTTTCATGGACTCCTATCAGTTTTATGTTATTCTTCTTTGCATCGTCTAGCAGTTGGATTGATTTTTCATGGTCCCTTAGTGTTTTTAAGAAATCTCTATTTTCATGGTCTCTAACCGCGATGCTGTCTTCTATATCTGATATTCTATCTTGAGATTCCCTTAATCTGCTGTGGATACTTTCAATGGAGTTTTTGATCTCCTGAATATCTGTTTGAATCTGTTTCATGGATTCCATTTCTTTCTTATGTTGGGCAATCTTGGTTTCCATTTCTTTCTTATGCTGTGTATTCATGGCTTCCAGCATGTTTCTGAGCTCAGCTATTTTTTTTATCTATTTCTGTTCTAGAGCCTCTAATCATGTCTTTCACTCTGCTCACCATCTCTGTGGATATCTGGGAGATTATTTCTGCTTTGAATTTTTCTAGAGCCTCATTCATCTGTTTTGTTACTTCCTGTGCTGTCAGTTCTGGGTATCCAGGTTGTTGGTTATGGGACTTTTCCATCTCATTTCCCCCAGGATTTACCCTTGGTGGGTTGGAAGTCTCAGTTTGTGTCTTGCTTAAATGTCTTCTCATTTTTGTTTTTGGTACTGTCCTTGGTTTAACTCCTGGGTTGATAGTTTGAAATTGCTTATTGCTGGTATCTATCTTTGTTGCTTGTAATTAGAGCCCTCATGGAATGATTGCTTCTCAGAGGTGTCTTCCAGATACAGTTGGTCTTTAAGTTTTGAGTCTCTAATGACTCTAAGGCTATCTCATTTTCCTTATACTAGGAAGGTTCATTGACTAGATCAATACCCACACCTTCCCCCAAGTGATACAATCAGCAACACCATTGCATTAAGTACATCTTTGAAAATGACATTTTGTGGTAGTTATTAATCTATCACCTTTACCTGTGTGACTTAAATCAAGATCGAGGACCAACCCAACATATAGTGAATAAACTCTTCAATATAACAACTTTATCCTTTGGGATGGGGAGTTAGAAGGGGTTGGGGAGGGAGGGATAGATGGGAAGAAGTATAGGGGAAGGTTAGCAGTGTGGTGAGAAGACACAGGTGAGAAGGAAAAAGAGAATACCAGGAAAATAAAGAAGAACTCTGAGGACCAAAACAGGGACAAATAGGGAAGATGAACAATGCGGGAGAGCAAGAGAGTGAGTGTAAGAGCGAAAGGAAAAAGAAAAAAGAAGAAACGGAAAAAAAGAGAGAAAATATTTGCAAAGAGTAGGGAAATAATTAAAGATAAGAGGAGCAAAAGAGAAAAAAAACACAATAATAAAACTAATTTTGGGAATAAAAAATAACCGTGTAGATGCAGGGCCTCTTCCAGGGTATGTCTCTGCTGTCAAAATAGACAACGTGGGTTGCATTGTGCAGATATAAGTCAGTGAGTCTCAGCAAGCTAGTCTCAGACCCATGAGATTCAGGCAGATTTCTGTCTGCAAGTCCCAAGTTAAGCTTCCTGTAGGGTTGAACTCTGCAGAGTAGTATTGCAGGTTCCAGCTGCCCTTACCTTGAAGATAGTCCCAGTCCTGATGGGAGGTGAAGATGACTCTAACTTAACCAGTACCGTAGTCTGGTCGTCCGGTGTCCTCTGTGTCTTTGTAGTGTGGAACCAGGTGGCTGTACAGAGGAGTGGGGTGAGGAGGTGTCCAGTGGATTGCTGCTCGGCGCATTCCGGGCGACTAGCGATGTTGCTAAGGCGTCCGCAGACCTGCCTATCTGCAGCGGGCTGATTTGGCAAGTTCCACGCGACTCGCAACATTGCTATGCCGTTCCCCAACATGTAAGTTTTGAAGGGGCCTCCATAAACTTTTTAATTTCTTTTTTCTTTTTTTGGCAGTTCTGGGGATTGAACCCAGGACCTTGCACTAAACTACACCCCCAGCTTTTTTTTTTAGTTTTACTTTTTGACGTTCCTTGCTAATTTGACCGTGCTGGCCTCGGACTTGAGATCATCCTTCCTCAGTCTGCCAAGTACCTGGGTTTATAGGTGTGTGCCACCTGGCCCAGCTAGTAGAATGTTCTTTCCTTGGACTTCAAGTACAGTACTAATTCTGAAGACTCAGCAATTTAATGTGCAAAGAGAAAACATTTACTTTATCTGTAATATACACCTAACATAAATTTAATTTAATAAGATCATAGCATGTGTAGGTGCCTGCCTTCTATCCATGTACACACAGAGAGAGAAAGAGCATGAGAGCAAGAGATACCTCTGTAGTCCTTGTACTAAGCATTACACAGCAAGAAAACCAAACTGCTTCTGTGTTTCCTTTCTCTATATTTATTTTATATGAATACATTGATGTTTATTTTCTACTTCCTACATACAAGGTGTACAGTAAATTACATTACATCTAGAAGTTGGGTTGCAGAGGTGCATGATAGTAACTGAAGACTGGAGTCAGACTGTGGAACACTTGAGAGTGAATCAGCTAATTTCTTTTTTTCTTTTTTTTTGCGGTACTGGGGATTGAACTCAGGACCTTGCGCTTGAGAGAGGCAGGCTCAGCACCACTAAGCTAAATCCCTATCCCTGAATCAGCTAATTTCATCCACATTAAACACATTAGTGTTTGGACCACACTTCTGTTCCTCCGTGAGGTTATAATCATGTTTTCTAGCCATATATCCGTGTGATTAAAAATGATCTCATTTGTTCTTTTGTAGTTTGGGGGCAAGCTGGTTACCTTTGAGGGTGTCAAAGTACAGTCTCCCCAGGGAGCTGAGCAGCAGCAGGAGCAGCAGCATGTGTTCATTAGCCAGGTGGTGACGGAAAAGGAGTTCCTGAGTCGCTCAGACCAGCTGCAGCAGGTTATACAGTCACAAGGGTTCATCATTTACTGCCAGAAAAAGATAGATGCTTCTCAGACGGAGTTTGAGAAAAATGTGTGGTCCTTTCTGAAGGTAAGTTGGCATTTAAAGTCATTTCATTTTATTATCTGTAAATGTAACTGTACCTGTTATATTCTGAATCTATCTTCCTATTAAATTGTAAAAGTATGATTCCAGAAATTCATGAAATTTAAGAAACATTGTAAAGAGCATGCAACTTAATTTATGTCAAGGCTTTTTCCTTCTCTATTTTGACAAACTTAATATGAAGTACTTTTTTAATAAGTAAAAAACAACACATCAGATACAGTATATTTAAGGAAGAGAGACTGTGTTCAAACTGGAACACAAAGCCGACTGCAATAAAAACATAGCGTATTTAATACTTGTAGTAAAGCTGCTGAAGGCAAATGGGAAAAGAGAAGATGCATGGAGTTAAGTTGTTGGAGTTGTTTTCTTCCCACCGTTAAGGAATTTAGAGGGGAGAAAATACATTTTCACTCAATTGCATTTTTGACAATAGGTTAACAAATAGGATTTTCTGGTTGGTCATTTTTGCCTCCACTGTAATATCTATTTTTTGCCATTGAATTTTCCAAGGAAAGCAATCTTAAATACAATAAGGTTAAATTCTAAAATTGTAGAATTTATATTTTGTAATTAAGTATGAAATTTGAGAAAGTGTTTTAGAAAATAAAGTGTTTCAGATGAGCTCTGCGTACATATGTCCTTTGGATGTTAGTTTGTATTTGCCAGAATTATAGTTCGAAAGGAAGCTTTATTCAACAAGGATAATTACTTACTAGTATACTTACTAGTAAAAAAATAACTAGTTAAAAAAAAAACCTGTTCTTTTCAAATGGTGAATCTTCAGGATGATATAGTAGATTTTAGATATTTTTAATAATTTTATTTGGAATTGGTCGCTGATAAGAATTAGGCTTTAAATATAGATCTTTGTTTCAAAAAATATATATATATTTTTATTATTTGAAGGTAAACTTTGAGGATGATTCTCGTGGAAAATACCTTGAGCTTCTAGGATACAGAAAAGAAGATCTAGGAAAGAAGGTAAACTATCCCCAGTTAATAGGCATTTAATAAGAATTTGTAGCTGGTGAAGTAACACATCACTGTGATCCTAGCACTTGAGAGGCCGAGGCAGGAGAATTTCAAATTCAAGGCCAGCTTGGGATACATAGAAAGTTCAAGGCCAGTCTGGACTACATAGAGAGACCTTGTCTCAAAAAAATAAAACGGGTGGGGAGAGACTGCTGGAGATGTCCTGGGTTAAATCCCCCCCACTCCCAGCAACCCCAAATAATTTGTGATTCGCTGCCAAAGTTTTGAATACCTATTATTAAACTCTACTTTATACCTGGATTTAGAAGTTACCAGAGCCTTCTTGCATTCAGACTTGATTGTTTGAACAACTGGGCCTTGACAGATAAGGTACCACAGCACCGTCAAGTATTCAAACACTGACAGCAGCAGAGTGTGTGAGCAGTGGCTTTCTAGAGGAAAAGAGAAAGAAACAGTGTTCGGTGATGAAAAACAGGGTTCTATTTCATGCCCAAACTGTGTATTGATCTAGCTGTGTATTGGTCTAGCTCCCAAGTAACTGATAAATGTCTGGAAATAGTGATTTATTCTCCCTCACCCAAATAAAAAGTCCAGGTGGTTTGCTTAACAGTTTAACTTTAAAAATAGAAGGTTCCCTTTTAAAAAGAGGAAATCATGTTGCAGTTTGTAGTGTTCTTGTTAAACAATGGCTTAATGTTTTTTCACAATGTTAACATCAATACCAGTTTTTTAAAACACCATGGAGGGCCGGGGATTTAGCTCAGTGGTTTTTGCCAGGCAAGGTCCTGAGTTTGATCCCCGGTACAAAACAAAACAAAAAAAACACTGAGGAACACTTGAGAGCTGTAATTTAGATTACATTTTTCTCTAGCATTACACTGTGCTTGTGTAAGTGGTATGGACTGGGTGTGCCAGCACTCTGGGGGCAGATAGTTGTCAGATCCCACCCCACTGCTTAGGGCTGTGTGTCTTTGCTTACCCTTTATAGTTATATTTTGCTTTATTATTAGCCTGAATTTTTTGATGCTATGACTCTTCCAAATTTGCAAGCAATTAATATGAAAGTTTTACTGATGCCTGGTAAGAAATAGAATCTGGTTGTCAAAATACTTCTCATAGCAATTCTTTCCATAGTGAGTACCTAAAAAAAATTACTTCCAAAAATTAATTTTATTTTTTTTAAATTAAAAAATAAATAACTAAATAAATGAATACAGCATACGTGAAAGAAAAAGTAAGTAGCATCTACTATGATAGATCCAGGAAACTATTTTTGTCAGTGTTGAAATGGACATACAGTAGCTTTGTCTTTGTATATGTTTATGATTAAATATCATTGAACATTAAGAAAATAAAAAATAAATAAATATAGCTTTTTTATTTTTAGTTTTGTTGTTGGTTTGTCTTTTTTTTGTTGGTACTGGAGATCGAACTCGGGACCTTGCGCTTGCGAGGCAGGTAGTGGAACCACTGAGCTAAATCCCCAGTCCCTGTTGGTTTGTCTCTTGAGACAAGGTCTCCCTATGTAATTCAGGCCAGGCTTGAATTAATTATGTAGCCTCAGGTTGGCCTCAGACTCCAGGCCAGTGGTGGTGAAGCTATGGCATGCATGTTACTTGTTTTTAAGACACAGGATGTTAATGTATGTGTTGTTTTTTCTAAACCGAGACCTCAGTATTCAGGTTTAATTGCAAAGTTGGCACTTTGCACTAAATATGTAAGTGGGTTTTAGATTGCAGTTTGGGCACTCATCTCTAAAAGGTTAACCATCACTACCTGGGTGATCCTCCCACTTCAGCCTCCCCAGTACTGGAATTACAGGTGTACACCGTCACACCCAACTCTGAGCTTTGTATTTTGACAGAAACATAGAAAGAAAATGTTTGTTTTGAGGTTAGTTTTGTTACTGAACAGCAGAATAGGATGAGATCTGAAAGCTAGAACTGCCTGTGAGTGACCCTAGAGCCACTGCACAGATGCTGTTCTCTATCACACACACTGTGCCTGATAAGGACTTCTGTGGGCTTCTGCTAACAAGAGTGGATTGAGAGGTGAACATATGTTGTATGCTCTGAAGTACAATTCCATTTAGTAGGTAAGTTGTTATTTTCTTTTCAGATTGCTTTGGCCTTGAACAAAGTGGATGGATCCAATGTGGTAAGGTCTTAAAAAGCAGGTACCTTCAAACGTTTTGGTTAAGTCACAACAAAGAAGGAGGTGTGATCTAAGAAGGACATCATCTGTTTTGTGCTTCATAGTGTAAAAATGTTGATTCTTAATATTTTACTAAGTTCATAATTCTCATTTTAAAATAGGCTAACTTTCATTGGCGGAGCATTCGTTTCTTTTGGCATATTTGAATGTTGTTAAAGAGAGGAATAATGGATACAATGACTGCTCATATGTTCAAGAGAAAGCTTTTTCGTGTTGGGTGACATTTGATAGGAAAGAAGGGGACAGAGATGTTAACAGTAATTACTCTTTGCCTCTCCTCTAATGTTTCTCCAATAAATTTATTCGATGTTGCTGCTTATAATCAAAGTGGATGTTGTTGGTTGGGTCTTTTGTCTCCTTTGTTACTACTAATAACCTTTTAATTCTGGATTCTTCACCTTCCTCTGTAATCATTTTGTGTACCAAAGGCTCTTAAAGACTCTGACCAAGTAGCACAGAGTGATGGGGAGGAGAGCCCTGCTGCTGAAGAGCAGCTCTTGGGAGAGGTACTTACTTTTTTTCATATTATATTGGACAAATATGTGATAATTGTGTATCCACATTGAAATATGGAAGATTTTCTTGACAATTTGTTGCAAAATAAAGTTGGGAGTGTATTGTTTTTTTTGAAATGTTTAGAGTTGGAATCTGTTTACCTGGACTGACATATCCTCTCTGAACTCTAGTTCTCTTACCTCGCTTCTGGAGTGTATACTTTAAAATTAACAGTTGCTGTGAGATTGACTTCACTTTCTTAGAAGGCTATTTTATTCAGAAATCCACTTTCATTGCATGTAAAGTTAATATGTTTTCTTGGCACATTAATGTTTAGGGTCTGTTATCAGTGGCATATCCCTCTGAATTAGGCCTGAACTTGGAGCCCAAGGACAAAGTATTTCACTAGCTGAACATCGTGGCACATGCCTGTAATTCCAGCTGCTTGGGAGGCTGAGGCAGGAGGTTACCAAGAAGCCACCCTGAGCAACTTGTTGAGACCCTGGGTCCAAATAATGAATTAAAAGGGGCTTAGGATGTAGCACAGTGTAAGGCCCTGGGTTCAACTCATAGCACTGAAAAAAAACAATTTTTTTCTCTGAATTGGTTGTTATTTACTATAAGTGTGTCCTTTGTTGTACTTGGTAATTTCTGTAACTAATCAAAAAGAGTCCTTGAACACAGTTGTATCAATTTTTTCCTTTTGATTTTCTGATATTTTCTTTTAAACTACTAATATCTAATTCTGTGACTTTTCTTGCTTTCTAATTTTATCTTGGAAGATTAATCAGAAAGTTCTTGATTTTGATTTTGCCTTTACTTTTTTATAGCCCTTTGTGCTTTGGTGATATCCTAACTGGGATATTCTGTATAATCATTTACTAAGTTATAAAAATAATTCACCCATATATTTAGACTACTCCATTGGTTATTAAAATTTTTTCTTAGAAGTAGATGTCCTAGCATTTATCTAACAAGGAAATAAATCTTACTAAAATGTGAACCAATTTTAGAAATACATAGAGAGAATTAGACACAAATACTGTGCTTTCACATTTATGTACAACTAAATTAACTACGTATTACCAAGTAAAAGACCATTTTGGAATACACTCATGAATAATAGGTAGTAGTAATAGGTATTTAAACAGTAGTCATCAGTGTATACTTTGAGTACTTGAAAAAATTATTTTAAGGAGGTAAAATCTTGCCTTTTATCTTGATGATACTGTTTGATTATCAAAAATTGTAGCTTACACATTGAAGATATTGAACCCAGAAAATTGTGCATTTTGGGCTTTATGTTTAAGAAGTGTATAAATAAAGCTATATTCATTGTAGAAAGCAAATTTGATAAATAGTGTGTTAAAGGATTTTTCTGTGAATTTTGACAATGAATGTAACAGTGAATATAACTAAAATTTTCAGTGTTTTCGAGTTTTTAAGATTCCAAAATGTGTCTCTTTAATTGGGGGCAAGCAATTAGAACTATTGTTATTCTTTTGTAACAGTTATCATTAGCTGTTGTGAACTTTGTACTTGAATGACTCAGCTCCAAACCCCTGACTTTGAATACTAGGCACTTATATTCACATGTGTAGATAACACAGGCACAGAGGGTAGATAGTTTATCTCATGTAGAGAGTAGTGTCTTTGTTGAAAAAGATTTAGAATATTTGTATAGACTATAAGTTCAGCATCCCTACTGTAAAATCTACTAAAATAGTTTTGGATTTTGGACCATTTTAGAGTTCAGATTTTTTGAATTAGAGATGCTTAACCTGTAATCTCAGAAATTTATAAAAGCACCGTATATATTTTTACCAGACCAACCTATTCCAGATATAACTTAAATTTAGAGAATGTGAAATCTATAATTGAATTTGAGTATATTTAAAAATACTCAAATCTAAAAATAATCTGTTTATATTGCTTTGGTGAGGAAAGTATCTAGGAATCAAACTCAGGGCCTTGCACATGCTTGGCAAAGTACTCCACTGAGCTACATCCCCGGCCCCTATTGTGCTTTTATTTTTTATTTTTTAATTTTTTTTTTGGTTCAGGGGTTGGAACTCCAGTCCTTGCACTTTTGCAGCAGGCGGCGAAACCACTGAGCTAAACCCCTGGCCCTCCTATTGTGCTTTTATACCAAGCCACCAAGTAATATTTTTTTTTAAGGATTCATTTATAACTAAAAAAAAATCTCATAACCAAGCCTAGTGGACAGGAATTTTTATATGTTAGAAGTAGGATTGTCTAAAAAAGTAAATATAATTTAAAGCATAGATCACATTTCTCAACCTACTCGTAGTTGAGGCATCTAAAGAAAGCAAAGATTCTTCAGTTTCAATAACAACTTTTCAGATGCGGTACCTATAATGGATATGCATACTTGTTTGTTTTACATTATTTTTGGTGGTCTTGGATTCTATTTATAAATGCACAGTGGGAATTAATACTTCAGGAAGTCATAAATCTGATTATAAATTTGGAGATGAGGACTTTCCTGAAATAACTTACCATATCATCTAGTCAGTAGGTGAATTTCGTATACAAAATTTTATTTTGGTAGTAAGTTTCATTTTGGCTAAATAGCTGCCTTTTTCATCTTCTTAGTGCATTAAAGAAGAAAAGCAAGAATCTGAATTTCTGCCCTCCGCTGGAGGAACATTTAATATCTCTGTCAGTGGTGGTAAGTACGTGTTGGCTTTGATTTTTAAACTTTTAAAAACTTTGAAAGCAAATAGTCCCAGTTAAAAATGTTTTGTTATAGACAATTGTGGGTTGAGAAAGAACCGAGTTACCATGTAGTATATGTAATTAGTGCCCTGAGAGAGGGGTGGTGTGTTCTGACACCTAAGTCAACGGTGTTCATCCAGTCTGAGCATTCAGCAAATAGTGTTTACATGTACTTTAGTATGTATTTCCATAGATCTCTTCTATAAATACTAACAGCTTCTGTCAGAAATTTAGTAGTCAGAAGTTAACATTGTGTTCTCTATTTGTATCTGTGTGTAAAAACTTATGTATATAGATTTTTTGTTGTAGTTGTTTTTGATGAGGAAAACCACTGTTGAACTTGGTTGTATTTTTCCTTGTTGCAGATATTGATGGTTTAATTACTCAGGCTTTGCTGACGGGTAATTTTGAGAGTGCTGTTGACCTTTGTTTACATGATAACCGCATGGCTGATGCCATTATATTGGCGATAGCAGGAGGACAAGAACTCTTGGCTCGGACTCAGAAAAAGTACTTTGCAAAATCCCAAAGCAAAATTACTAGGGTATGTTATTTTCAAAATAGATAAATCACAATATATTTATCTTTCTGATTACAAAAATAATACATTATTATTATAGATCATTGGGATGTAGAGAACACTAAAGAATTAGCCTATTCATAATACTTTGACTCAGAAATAGTTATTGACACTTTGATATGATTAATCCAGTTTTTATTGTTTCTACAATATAATTTTTAAAATACTATTTTCATGTTATTATAGAAAGATTTAACACAAAAAAAAAATTTATTTTTTTGGTACCCGAGATCGAACTCAGGACCTTGCCGCCTGCAAGGCAGGTGGCCAAACCACTGAGCTAAATCCCTGTCCCCACAAAAAAATTTTTTAACACAGAAAATTTTTAAGATAAAAATGTTAGCTTCCTCTAATCCTGCCAACTGTCTGGCGCATAGCTTTCCATACCTCTTTCTATATATTTGTAGAATTTTTTCTGACGGTCAGGATCATCTACATGATATGTGTGGTTTTGTTCATGTTGTCATTTACATTGATTTTTCCATATCATTAAAAACTCAAAAGATTTTAATTAGTTTATATTTTATGATGAGGTTGTATTCTCATATATTTTGGGTATTTAAATATACTCTTTAATATTTTCCTCATATAGGTGAGCACCATTGTATATACGGTGATAAAAATCTATTGTACCTAAAGATTTGTGCAGATTTCTAATTAATTATCCCATAGTACTAGGAGGGGAATTTCTGGTACAGAGGGTCTGAACACTTGTAAGCTTCCTATTGATATTTTCCATATCATAAAAATAATTTTTATGCCAGTTACTTTCCGTAAAAGTCGTACCAGTGTCAGTCCCAGCAGCATTGGTTGTGGTCAGTCTTCCCTTCTCTGCTATATGCCCCTCTCCCTGTCAGAGCTCATGTCTTCTCTCCCTGTGACAGGCTGTCTTTTGGCTCCTAACCCACTCTTATGTTCCGTCCTCCTTTGTATCTCGTGTCCCCTCAGCTTGGAATGCTTTTTCCTTCTCTCTGTTCAAATCTCTGTGCAAAAGTCTCCATGTTGAGGTAGCTTTTTGACATACTAGACCAGGTCACATCTTCCTGTTAAATGTTGTGCTAGCCTCTTGAACTTTTCCTCATCATTTTATAAAATATGTTGATGGGGCTTTCTTTCTTAAGGAAAAATAAAGCCATCTGTTAAGTCATTTGGTCAAGAAAATACTTCACTTTTTGGTGCTTTATTTGTTATGAAATATTCTTATTAGTTTTGAACGAGATGATTCAATAGCCAAAGTTAATTTTTATTAAAATAATAAAGACTTTTAATTTTCCTTTTGATTTATTTTCCTAAGCTCATCACTGCAGTTGTAATGAAGAACTGGAAAGACATTGTTGAGTCTTGTGACCTTAAAAATTGGAGAGAGGCTTTAGCTGCAGTGTTGACTTATGCTAAACCAAATGAATTTCCATCGCTGTGTGGTGAGAAATGAGCTTTGCATTTAACTACTTTACATGGTAATATTGTAAATAACATTAATGACAAGTTTTATTAGAAGTTTTTGTAATCATACTGACAATTATAAAATATATTACTTAACATTATTTCTAAAAATACTGTTTAGTGGATTTGGTTTCAAACATAACAAAGTTGAAAGTTTACTGCTGCCACTTAACTAGCTTGATAACCTAGGAAAAAATATTTCTAAGCCTCATTTTATCCATTTTTAAAATGGCACATAGGCAACTCTCACTTAATACATGTTAACTCTGGGCCGGGGATTTAGCTCAAGTGGTTTTGCTGCCTGCTGCGCAAGCGCAAGGACCCGAGTTCGATCCCCGGTACCAAAAAAAACCCCAAATACATGTCAACTCTGGTAAAATTAACATTGCATTTGAGTAAAAATTGTCATTAGAGGCCATGACTAAATTGGTGGCTAAGGAATAAATATTATTTGCAATAAAAGAAGTTTAAGGGTGATAGTGTATGAGCCAACAATCATTTTTGCTACCTTTGAAAGTACTATGAGAAGGGCCAGGGACTTAGCTCAGTGGTTCCGCTGCCTGCCTTGAAAGTGCTAGGTCCCAAGTTCGATCCCTGGTACCAGAAAAAAAAAAAGAAAGAAAGTATTATGATAATACAAAATATTATAGAATATTAACTTTTCATAAATAATTTTTGATAGGCAGAGCTACCATTGATAACTCTATTCCAAATATGCTGTTAGGAGTTTTGTGTTCTAATATTGTTCTCATTTATTGGGTTTTTTTACTATATTTAATGGAAATCAGTTCTGCAGCTAGATAGAACCCTGTGAAATAGCTTATCATATATAATTTGTCATCTATTTCCATTTGTTTAACAAAGTATTTACTAAGGAACATTTGGAGTGATTTTTGTTTCTCTCTGCTGCTCGTTGATTGTGAAGTTTAGTCTGTACATAGGAAACTCTGACTGAGCTGCTCACAATCATGCAGCAGATTGCTTTGGGTATAATCTGAGTCCTCTTATCTTACAGATCTTCTGGGTGCCAGGCTTGAAAGTGAAGGAAATAGCATCCTGCAGACTCAGGCGTGTCTCTGCTATATTTGTGCAGGGAATGTAGAGAAATTAGTTGCATGTTGGACTAAAGCTCAAGATAGTAGCAGCCCTTTGTCCCTTCAGGTTAGTATCTTTGAAACAAAAGGTGCTTGCTTTTTAGTGTTTTCTTTTAACTTAGTTATGATCAAGTTCTATTCTAGAAATTAATTTGTGCTAGAAGTTTATTTACATTTTAGAAGGTCTTTTGATGGATAATTATGTGCATTTATTGCTGTCTTTGAAGCAGCAAAGTTTGAGGCGATAGAATAATAAAATGGAGTTGCAGCTGTTTGTAAAATCAGGGTTGTGATTTGGCAGTTTATTGGGTATAGTAGGTGGCAGGAGCACTGAAAATGCCCCAGGGTGGTAGTGGTGAACCTATGACACACATGCCACAGTAGGCACACAGAGCCGTCTATCAGCACATAAGCCAAGTCACCTCAGCCAAGGTTTGACAAATTATCAGCATGTGTACAACAGCAAAGATCACATTAATTGTGCAAAAGCATGCCAAATGCAGACTTTTACCTTTTAATAAAAAGCTGTTTGTAGTATTGAAAGCTCTGTTATTGCATCTGTATTATTGAAAGCTCTGTTACTGCATCTTTCTTTTAAGACGAGATGTTAACCTATGAGTTTTGTTTTTTTTTTTTCTTAACTAAAACCTCAGTATTTAGGTTTAGTTGCAGTATTGGCACTTTCCGATAAAATGGGTTTGGGTTGTGGTTTGGACACTTAGTCTCTAAAAGGTTCACCATCACTGCCCTAGTGTTTACCTCTTTTACCTCAGTGGCCTCTTCAGTGGCCCCTCGCTCCCTTGGCAAAGTCAGAATCAATGTGGCCTAAGGAATAGGAGGCATCTAATACCAATAGAGAACTTTTGTGATTAAGCAAAAATGAAAGGAAAATGTAAATAGAATCCCATGTATCCTAATATACAAGCAAGTGGAAGCGAAAAATTGTGAAGACTCTTCTTAGGCACTGAATAACTATATCTTTAGATTTTTTTTTCCCAAACTATTTAATCTGCAGAATCTTATTTTTAGTACAATATTTCTTTTTCTTTCAGGAAAGGGTTTATCAGTAGTGTTGTTACTTCAGAGGTCATTCTATTGGAACTAAAAATCAGGTAGAAAATTGAGGGTTTTCTTCTAAATGGCCCTGAGAAAATATCACTTGTTTCACACTTCTCAATTTGTGTACTTGTGAAGGGTGGATAGGTGGAATATTCTTACGCATGCTGCCTGGAGCATATCTCGCCCTTGTTCAAAGCGTTGGCGTTGAAGAACAGCTTGGGAAACTTTGAGTCATAGTAATGTGTTAGTCAGCTTTGTATACTGTGATGAACTGTCTCAAGTAATTAACTTTTTTTTTTCTCTTAAATTCTTGTATTGGTACATTTTAGCTATACAATAAGTTTACATTTATCATTGGGTGCTTGTACATGTACATGATGTATCTTGGTTCTTATTTTTTCCCCATTACAAGACTTTGTTCCGTTTTTTCTTTTTCTTATAATTTTTCCTTTCCCTTCTTTCCTTTTCTCTTACCCTCTCACTTCCCCTATTGAGTAATTAACTTTTAAAGAGAAAAGGCTTGTTTGGCTTCATGGTTCTGGAGGTCCAGCCTGAGGTCGGGCAGCCTATTACCCTGGGCCTCTAATCAGGGCAGCATACATGGCAAGAGCCCAAGATGGGGCAGACCACATGCACTGTGGACTGGGAAGCAGGAGAGAGGAGAGGTAGGCAGGCAGGGAGTATCCTGGGCCCATTCCCCTTCAGGGATGTGCCTCAGTGACCGGAGGACCTCCCCTCCCGTTTGGCCTCACCCCAGGGCACTGCTCTGGGAGCAACCCTTTAACACATTTGGCTTGTCGGGGGCATTCAGCTCCCAAACCATAACAAATAGTCCTTTTAGAGGTCTTGTGCCTTGTTGTCTGTCACCTCATAGCAGGAGTGTTGTTATAGGATTGGTGGTATATGTTCTCATTCACAGTTCCTCCCTCCTAGGACACAGTCTTTGCCTTTGATACCTGTCACTTTCACTTTGCATATTTGCCTGTTTTACCTCACTAGACAAGTAGCTGGTGGTCTAATTAGGAATGCTTAGGAGAAGGTGATAAGCTCTATTAGTAACAGATTTTTTTCCATCTTAATGTTTTCACTTACCTAAATGGCGGCCAGCAGCAATTCCATAGTTTTCAAACTGGGATAATAAGTACTATATTTTTAATAAGTGTTAGAAGAAATCTTAGTAATTTTACCTTTCCCTACTTCTTCTCATGGTACTTCTGTTCTCTTTCACCCTGCCTTATTTTTCTCATTTAGGATCTGATCGAGAAAGTCATCATTCTGCGAAAAGCTGTACAACTTACCCAAACCATGGACACTAATACTGTAGGGGTTCTTTTGGCTGAGAAGATGAGTCAGTATGCCAATTTATTGGCAGCCCAAGGCAGTATTGCTGCAGCCTTGGCTTTTCTTCCTGACAACACCAACCAGGTACTTAGAATTGACAGTCTGTCTTCTTTCTTTCAATGTATGACTAAGATGACTCCAGTAGATAGCACTTGGCATTAGGCATACACATACTAGGTGGAATGTTTTGGAGCAGTTGAATTTCCAACAGCTTGCTGTAGGTAAATGTTATTGACATTCTTCAAGGTTCACCTCAGGTGTACCCCAGCTGTGTCAGAAAGATAGGATACTTTGGTAGTATCATAGATCCCTTTGTTTTGAGGGACTGTAGTAGTTTAGCAAAATGAATGAGAAAACCTATATTTCCAAGACCAAATGCTGACTCTGTGTATGAGATTCTTTGTAGGAATCTTTTATGTTGAAAAGCTATGAATACTAATACATAAAATGACGTTAAAATTTTTTAATTCCCATATGTGGCACCCCAAATATTAGCAAACAAGTGCATTCTCTGTACCATTTTAGTCTGATACCATTTGTGGGTGAGTATATTTTTTAAATTATTCAAGGTAGAGGGAATTATATTGCGTTCTTTAACTATAGGATCCAACTCTTATCTTTCTAAATTTTTAAAAGGAATATTAGGTAGAATAGAAACATAGTCTTTTTTTATGATAACTTGGCATAATAGTTTTAAGACTTTTTACTTAATACAGTTTCATTGTGATATCAAGATACAAGATCCTGAGAGCCAGGGATTTAGCTCAGTGGTGCCTTACCTGCCTCAAGTGCAAGGTCCTGAGTTCAGTCCTCGGTACCAAAAAAAAAAAAAGATAGAAGACCCTTTAAGGCTAAGTTAATCTAAGACTTTTAGTTTGTTTAGCCTTAAAATTATACTCTTTCCCCCACACACCTTGCTACTCAGGATTGAAGCCATTGCTTAATATGATAGGCAAGCACTTTACTAGAACTTGCAAACAAGCCTTCTTCCTTTTTTTTTTCTTCCTTTCTTTTGTTCTTTCTAAGACAGGGTCTCACAGTGTAGCCTAGGCTGGCCTTGAACACACTAGGTAGCCCAGGCTGGCCTTGAACTCAATACAATCCTCCTGCTTCAGCTTCCTGAATGCTAAGATTACAGATGTACCTCACCATGTCCCACAACCAACCCTTTTTAAATTTTATTTTGTGACAAGGCTGAGTTCCCCAAGCTAGCCTAGAACTTTATATTCTCCTGCCTAAGGTTCTGTACTCCGTGGAATTACAGGCATGTGCTACCACACACAGGTCCTTAACTGTTTTTAATGCCATTTTTTTGGGGGGGGTACCAGGGATCAAACTTGGAACCTTGTGCTTTCAAGGCAAGCAGCGGAACCACTGAGCTAGATCCCCGGCCCTTTAATGCCATTTATAATCACATGCGCTTTATATATTATTATTCTTAATGCTTTTCCTTGGACTAGTTTTTGTTTTTTTGGTTTTTTTTGAGATAGGATCTCACTATGTAGTTGAGGGTGGCCTCGAACTCATGACAATCCTCTTGCCTCAGCCTCGTGGGTGCTGGGATTACAGGTGTGCACCACCACACCTGGGTCTTTGGACTTTAAAGAACATTCTCTATGTAAAAACGTAATTTTCATGTTATTTCCCCCAGTTTATCTCAGTAAACCCTATGTTCTGTGGAGAAAATGTCCTGAGAATTTGTGATAGTATTATACTATATAATCTTCCACCAGAAAATGCAATAAAGTATATGTTAAAAGCTCAGGTGAGCCATGTATGAGTGTACGTGCCTGAAATCCTAGCCACTTGGGAAGCTGAGATAAGAGGATTGCAAGTCCCTGTGTCAAAATAAAAAAATTGTTTTGAGTGGCTAGGGATGTAACTCAGTACAAAGCCCTGGGTTCAGTCCTCGGTATTGTGTACTACTACCCCTAAATAAACTTTAAATGACCATTTTAAACCTTTAGCAAATTTATAAGATTGTATAATTTTTAATGAATTAAATTATTTCTGATGCATTTTAACACATTGCTTTATTATTGTTAATATGTAGAAAATATGTATAATTAACTTATAAATTTATATAATTGAAGATTTACATGTGTGAGCCATAGATCTGAATGCAAGATACTAATTTATTTCAAAAATTTCTTTTAAAAATTAATTTTCGTCTCTTTGATCACCATTTTCTTACATTACCATCTTTAGCAGTTGATTCTCTTTTGGGTCTGTTTTTAGTTGTATTTATGATTTATGAGCATGTTTTGTGTTTTTTTGTTGGTTTTTGTTTGTTTGTTTTGATTAGCAAAAGTTAGGTTTAATTTTCCTAAGGTCTTAGTTACTTCCCTTTAAGCTGGGACAGAATATCTGATATCCACAATTTAGGAAGGAGAGATTTATTTGGGCTCGTGTTTCATTCAGCCCATGTTCATCTGGCTCCAAGGCCGGACAGCATGGCAGAGGGGCCTGGTAGAGGAGAGCTGCTCATGGTATGACGGACAGGAAGCAGAGATTTGGGAGCATTATTACTTAACCACAAAAATACATAAAAGGAGCAGTGCTGAAAGTGACAGTGATCTATGGACATAATTCAGATCCCTACCTCAGTTAAGTTAGAAGTTGTGGTATATGCAGGGTATGGTGACGCATGTCTGTATGTCTAGCACTTTGAGGCTGAGGCAAGAGGATAGAAATGTGAGGCCAGCCTGGACTACATGGTAAGACCCTGTCTCCAAAAAGAGAAAGAAAACCACTCACAACCAACCACTGAAAGAGAAGTTGCAGTGTGTGTCATGGATCTTTCTTTGGTGCCAGTCTTAAGTACTAGCATCACTAATGTTGAACCCTCAGGTGTCAGAGTTTATTGTATAACACACAGCATATGAACAGAAGGGGGTCTCTTGCATGAGCAGATTACTTTAAGAAAATCAACATGCTATCGTAAAATAGGGTGAATCATAACAGTTTGCTTTGTTTTCTTCCATTGCTTCTTATAGCCAAATATTGTACAGCTTCGTGACCGACTTTTTAGAGCCCAAGGAGAACCTGTACCAGGACAGCAGTCACTAAAAACTCCTTATGAGAGGCAGCAGGTGTCCAAGGACAAACCTGGACCAGTGGCTGGCCACCCACAGATGCCAAGGGCTCCGACTCAACAATATTATACCCATGTGAGTGCATGGTCCAGATGAAGGAGGAACTTTTAAGCATTTGTGTTCAAATTGACAGTATTCCTTTGTTGGGCAGAAGATCTTCTCTTACATGGTAAAACTAGACAGCATTGTTTTAATATACTGTTGGGTTTCTTAAAAGTGGTATTTCTTTTTTTTTTTTTGTACCGGGGATCCAACTCGGGTCCTTGCGCTTGCAAGGCAGGCGGCGGAACCACTGAGCTAAATCCCCGGCCCAAAAGTGATATTTCTTATGTACTATCCAAAATCATCTTTTTAATCTGGTCAAACATTATATTTTAGGTATAAATTAGTTTTAAACACTCTAGGGAGATTTGTTATCATCTCTTTCTCAGTCATACCTACCTTACATATGTACATCTGTTTCTGAAATGTCTATAATGTCTATTTAATTTATCTAACAAATTGTAAGTTAATAGAAACAACCCTTTCAGTGATTTAATTTTAAAAATATTTTTAGAAAGTAGTCTTCTTTGATCATTCTTTTCTACATCAATACAGAATTGCTGTCTTTTCTGTGTCTGCACAATAAAGAATATTCAGAACACAGACATTTCTTTGACAAGTTGGATATTAGAAAAAAGTGAATGACTGACAGTTTATGAAACATTATGGGAAATGTAGAAAGGATTAATAATTTTTATTTAATTAAATTAGTGTTTGCTGACATAAAAAGTGGTCTTTATTGTCTTTTACTGTTTCATTAGAAGCTTTTATTTCCAGAACAGGAGATAACCTTCATGCATGTCTTATATAAAAAGTATTTTTCCATAATTAATAAATGGTCTAGATTGATAGCAAAATTAACAGATACTCATATTATTTTTTTTGTTTTTTTCCTGTTTTAAAATAGAACAAATTGGCAGTAGGGTAGATAGCACATTTTCACATTTCATTATGGGAAAAGTAAATGTAAAATCACTGAAAAGTAGCTAGGCATGATGGCATACACCTATAATCCCAGCACGGAAGAGGCTGAGACAAGATCAACACGTTCAAGTCCAGTCTGGAATATGTAGTGAGAACCCTGCCTTTCTCAAAACAAAACTGCAGAAAACTAAAAACAAAACAAAAAAACGTCATTCTCTGTTGTCTGTTGCACTTTGGATTGGAAGTGAAGATAGATTACATTTGACTAATCTGTTAACTATATAGAACACGTGTTTTTAATTCATTTGACAAATATTTATTGAGACCCTGCTGTGAATTCCTGGCATTGTTCTAGCTATTGGGAGTCTGCTGGAGAACAAAGTACACAAAACTGCGTACTCTCATGGAGATAGTACTTGTCTTAGGAAGTCTGTCACTTCATTGGGGCAGATCACACGATGGCTGGGAAAACTGAGGTGGGGATGTCAAGCAGCCCACCCGAGTTTGAAGACACAGAACTTTCATTTCTCAGCATTGCATGTCATATCTTTCTGAGGAAAGATAAAAACGTTGAAAGATATTATTATACTTTAATTTACCATTCCCATGTTGTAAGAAAGGAAAAATAAATTGAATCACAAATCAGTGATTTTCTTGATTAAAGCTTATCGTCTGCTGAATGAATGAAGACAGTGCCTTGTAGTTTTAAAGCAGTGTTTACAGGTGGGTAAAGGCACAAAAGGGAGTCCAGATTAGTAGGAGATCCACTCCCACTGGAGCCAGCACAGCTTTGCTTTTATATACGAAGGTTTACATGACAAAAAAGATTTTGATGGTTGTTTAAAAATTGAAAACCACTGGACCTCCAGGGTAGGCAACATGTTATAGTATAAAAAACACTGGTCTGGGAAGCAGGAGACCTGGAATTAGTTCTAGTTCCACGACCAATGATTTGTACGGACTTTGACAACCCCCTTCATCTCTCTGGACCTTAGTTTTCTCACTGGTAAAGGATAGGAATTAGACTGGGTAATTTTTATTATTCAGCTTTAATGTTCTCTAATTGCATGATTTTTAAGCCTTGTGGGGACTAACATGATTTTCATGGCTCATGAAATCCAGAAAAGAGAGCTTATAGCAATGTTTGCAGATTAGTAGTAGCATGAATGCTATTAATGCTTCAAAAATCACAATTTTACTAGGTTTTTTTCCAGACTATTTTCTTTCTTTTTCTACTTACAGGATCTAATTTTCCCCACTTATTTTTGATGCTTGAATGGCATTGTTCTTGTGCTTTGATTTAGGTTTCATGTTGATTTTTTCCTGCCTCTCCTGTTTTGTTTCTGCTTTTCATTTGGCATCCTTGCTACATTGAAAGGAATCACCTGACTGATATATGTTATCTTGTTGTTTTTACTTTTTGCTTTGCATCTGGCTGTTAATACCTTTGGGTTGTTTTTTTCTTTTAACATTTTCATTTTTATTTTCTGTGATTGGTATTTCTGTGTTCGATCCAGGTTAGAATTGCCCCTACTGCCACTACCTGGAGTAACAAAACTCCTACTGCCCTTCCCAGCCATCCACCTGCAGCCTCTCCCTCTGACACACAGGTATATCCTTCATTATTCCTCTTTGAGCAGGATTCTGCTCACCGAAATATGTAGTTATATATCCCCTCTCCCCCTTCTCAACTTCCCTACCCTTACTTCACATCCATCTGCCTGCTTATTGCATTTTACTGCTTTTAGAATGCAAGAGGCAACTTTTAGAACAATTAATTTATTTCCTCATCCCTTCTCTCCTTTTACAGTTCTCAACTAATTTGAGCTAGAAAAATAATAAGGTTCTAGCAGTCATATAAATTTGATGATTTTACTGAAGACTCCTTTCCTTTCTATTATTTTTTTCTTTTTCTTCCATTCACTTTTTTTAAGCATTGCAGAAATAGAAGAAAACTAAAGTCTCCTTTATGCCATTTATTATATTTTCAGTGTGCTATAGTGGATGGAAATTAATAGAAACATAATCCTGGTGATTTATCATAAACTATTGATACTATTTTACAAATCTGTTAGTATCTTTTGTCATTCATTGCAACTATTACTTTGGGCCTGTCTGATCTTTAAATCACTCAGAATGGGTTGCTCAGAAAGTAGTTTTTACACAGTAAAGTTGTTCTTTTTTTCAATGAACGTAGAATACCATTTCAGAGATTAGAAAGCCATGTATAAATTTATATCTTGATCCCAAATGTAATCCTCTTGTTCACCATAATCTTTTCTAGATAGAAAATCCTCCACCTCTGGGTTTCATAATGCATGGAAATGTCAATCCAAATGCTGCCGCTCAGCTTCCTACATCTCCGGGTCATATGCACAGCCAGGTACCACCTTACCCACAGCCACAACGTAAGTCCTGTGACCTGAAGTCCTTCACAGCAGATCTTGTTTAGTAACTACTCTGAAGCACCAAAGCCATGGTCAAATCAGTTTTTACAAATAAAGTAAGAACCATTCGGTACAGAACTAGGTCCTACCTACAGAGAAACAGGCTTTCCCTGAAAGCCATCCTGATCAGTGTGCTAGGAATGAACTTCCCTGTCACTCTGTTCAGGGCATTGGCTCCTGTCCCTGAGCCATCATTACTAAGAACTGTTAAAGAGGGTCAAGTACCCCATTGATTCTAAAGTAGAATTTTAGAAATTATTTGGAGCTGGGTGTGGTGGCGCACACCTGTGATCCCAGCACTGTGGAGGCTGAGGCAGGGAGATCACTGTGATTTCAGGGTCATCCTGGGCTACATGGTGATTTCAAGGCCAGTCTGACCTACATAGTGAGATTCTGTCTCAAAAAACTTAAAAAACAAATTATTTCATATATATTTCTTTCAGACAAGATAGTACAAACCATTATTGCACAATTGTTTTCAAGGGGTATTTGTTACTGTTTTTTCTGTTTGTTTGTTGTTTATTTATTTATTGTGGACTTTGTCTTTTAAGTAGTTTAAGATTCATAGCAAAAGTGAGCGAAAGTACAGAGTGCCCACATATGTGCAGCCTCCTCGTTATCTACATTCTGTACCATAGTAGTGTATTTGCCGCAGTCAGTTCACCTGCTGTGGTTCCTTATGACCACACCAAACTCCATGGTTACACTTGTGTCACTCTCGGTTTTGTACATTCTACAGGCTTTGACAAATGTACAGTTAATCATCTGTCATTGGCATTTGTTTGTATTTTGTTTTACTTTTAGAAAATAATTGCACTTGGAAAGTAAAAAATTCCCTATGGCTTCAAAATTAAAAACAAAAAATCTCAATAAAATATCAAAGGGGCAAATTATAAGATAAAACAACTATTAAAAAAAAGTAAGAGGCCATTACCTAGTAAGAACTAATCCTAAAAAGTGTTCTACACTAACATTGTTGTTCTTACCTGAGTATAGATTTGGTATAGCATTTCACTCAAGTGCTTTGTCTTCATAGAATTCACTGGAAACTGTACAATTCCCCTAGATACCCTCTGTAGAGGCACATATCTCCCCTTCCTTCATCACACAGAATGTGACTGTGTCAAGATCTCCCTCATCAGGGTTCGGGATCAGGCCAGGGGACTTTTTCTGTAAAAGAGGCCTTTTTGGTTGTGTGCTTCCTGCCTGCTTCCCCCTGGTGGTTGCAGGGTGTCAGTGCAGTCTTTTCCTAGGATAGGAAAAAGGATTGGATGCTTTAAAATTTTTCATAACCAGTAGCAATCTGGGCTGGCAGTTTTCACATATTTGAGCTAATGATTTTAAGTATACTTAGGTCATCTGAGCCACAAAAGGCATAGTGTGTTGTTGTTTTGTGATGCTAGGGGTTGAATCCAATTGCCTTACATATGTCAGGCAAGCTCTCTACCATGGATCCATGCCTTAAGTGTTAATTTTTGGTTTTAACTTATTGTTACGAATGATTACAATCGTTTCCATAGAATGTGCTAACTTATGGTTTTGTTATCTGAATAAACTTGGAACTAACTATAATTTCTGTTTCTTCTCCTTGGTGTAGCTTATCAACCAGTCCAGCAGTATTCCTTCGGAACAGGGGGGCCAACAATGTACCAACCTCAGCAGCCTTCTGCTCCTCCTGCCTCAAGTGCTTACCCTAACACCTCTTACGTCTCTTCTGCTACTTCCTACTCTGGGCAGGCTCCGCTCTACTCAGCACAACACCTGGCCTCTTCTCCTACCTCCAACCCTGCTGCTGCTTTCCCTCCTCCCTCTTCCTCGGGGGCATCCTTCCAGCATGGCGGACCAGGAGCTCCCCCATCATCCTCCGCTTATGCACTGCCTCCTGGAATAACAGGTACACTGCATGCTGCCAGTGAGCTGCCTGCATCCCAGAGAACGGGTCTTCACTTGAGGGGTTTGATGTGGCTGCCTGTTGTTTCATGGGTGGGGAAGGGGGTTTACCCCTGTTTGAACTGGGTAATGTGAGGTGGCAATTGAGTTTTCATAGCAAATTCTTTCTGTGAATGTGATTCTCTCATAATGTACTTCAACTGCCAAATGACAAAAGTTTAGCACTTAGGAGAGTATGTATATAATCTACCATTGAACCTAAAGTGAGTGGTAAGAAATTCTTTGGTAAGTGGTAGCTGAAATCAGATTTAGTTGACAATTTCTTTACTTGAACAAAGTTATGCTATCTGTTCTTAATTGAAAAGTTTTCATTTTATAAATTACTTGTTGCTTAAATTCTTTCATGGAAATTAAACAGTACAGGGTCTCAATGAGGTTGTAGAAATTTTACAGTTACATTTATTTGTAAGGGTAGGGCATGATCTTAATATGTTTGATTAAGAAAAAAGTGAGACAGTATACCTCTCACAGAGAGGTCCTCTGAGACAGTACAAAGCTGTATCCCCAGCCCTTAGTTGCCTAGGCTGGCCTCAAAGTTGCAGTCCTCCTGCATTGGTCTCAGGGTGCTGGGAGTACAGGCATGCACCACCATGGCTGGCTAAAATATTACTACTTTTAAAGTCTGGTGGAGAGTTGGTCCAGAGTTATACATGTGTTTCTTGAAACCATAGTACCAACCTCATATATACTATATTTTTCCTGTACATATGTATCTTGGTAAAACATAATTTATGAATTAGGCACAAAATGAGATTAATGACAAAAGCTAATAATAAAATAGAATGGTTATAACCATGTAATAAAATTGTCAGCATCACTACTTTTGTACTTTGGAGCCATTACTAAGTAAGTCAGAGCTACATGAACAGAAGTATAGCAATCCCACAGCAGCTGATCAGGTACCTGAGAGGACCCTCAAAGGACTGACAGGCAGGTGACATCTCTAGCATGGACGTGTTGGACAGCGGTATGTTCAGGTCTCCCATTCTAAGTACAAGACAGAGCAGGATGGCACAAGATCTTTTCACTCTACTTAGAATGGTACACAATTTGAAATGTTTGCATTATTTCACAATGTCCACATAATATTTTTGACCATGGGTAACTGAAACCACAGAAAGTTAAACTACAGTTAAAGGAGCACTACTGTATGTTCATCCTGCATTACTGTACATATAAAATTTCAGTAATACATACAGGTGTTTGACATTTTTTGAGAAAGGAGCGCCTGTTCATTTGTAGAGCTCTTTGTAAGTGCCTGCTTGTTTGTAAATACCTTTTTAAAGCTGGATGAGTGAAGACAGTATCCACTTGGTAGGTAATGAGAGTTCTTGAGGGGAAAGTGGCAGCGTGGGTTCATGGAAATCCCCACCAGAGTTAATGCCAAGTGTGTTGGTGCAGCAGCTCTGGGAAGTTGAGGCAGGAGGATTGCAAGGTTGAGCCCAGTTGGGCAACTTTCGAGAGATGCTGTTTCACAATAAATAAAGGTCAGGAGATGTAGCTCAGTAAGAAGGCTAAGATTCAATCCCCAGTACCAGGGATAAAAAAAAAAGTGCAAGAAAGTAGGGAAAAGCAGTGACATTTATGAGTGAATTAATCTTGGACATGATCCAGCACTCACTGCATATTTTCTTATTGAGGTCTCACAACCCTGAAAATGGATATAATTAAGCTTGTTTGTTTTTAGTTGCAGATGAGGAAACTGAGTAATGGCACACTGATAGTCTCCACGTTGGGCCACAAACCTGGGTCTGAGTCTTCAAACCTGTGTTCGTTCTACACCAGAGATTCTAGTCTGATACAAGTGATAGAAAACTTTTAGTGTTAGAATTACAAAAATTATGTAGCAGTGCTGGCCTACTGTTATAAGCATTTGTTACTTTACAGTGTAAATATTTGCCTGAGTGTTCTTTCCTCTTGGACACAAGATGAGTCTTGGCTTTTACAATAGAGTAGGGGAATGTTCTAACCTGGCTGAGAAACAGTGGCTAACAGCAGCACAGAAACATTTTCTGTTATTCAGCATGTACTGTGTATGCCTAGCTGCTTTGTTACTTCTTGCACATTAACAGTCTATGTTTTAACAGTTAAGCTTTGCCATACTTTATTTTTCCATTTACTAAAAAAAATTTCAAGTTATAGAAGTCATTGTAACTGAAATTTCTCTTATTCTAATGTGTCTTAGATCATGGTCTTGTTCAGGATTTAGGAATTCCATTTGACCAGTGGATAATTCCTAACAGAAACTATAGATTTTTAAGCTCTTTCAATGAATCACAGAATGATGTGCTCAGGGCTCAAAGAAATGAATGTTGGAATCAGCAAAACATTCATTCAGTAAATTCTTAATGAGCACCTGTTCAGTCTTCAGTAACTTTCTGTCCTCACCAGCCTCTGAGAACCACTTCTCTACTTCCTATCTCTTGGTGGGACATTCTAGGTACCTGATATAAGTGGAATCATGCAAATTGATTTTAAAAAATTGAACAAAGTTTATCTGGGTCAAAATATGATGTGAAATATAATACATGGTTTAAGGGTAGAAAGGATTAGGTTAGCTGGATATAGGTATCAGAGAGGGACATGAATATTGTTAAGTCTATTCCCTTTGGTTCTGTGGCCCCAGCAGCCCAGCTGACTCTGTTCCTGTTGAGAGTTCTTGATTCTGATTTGATTAATTTGTACTTCTAACCTTAAATTTGGCTTCGTTATGACTTTATTGTCATGTTACCAAGCAGGCATATCAAAGTTGCCTTACAGATTTCTTTGTGCCGCTCCTAGTTTATGGAGTCAGGACACCCTGCCAGGCTTCCATATCCAGGGTTTAACGCTCTGCCCCGACTGGTCAGAGACATAACACTTGTCATCTTTACCACCTTCTGGTCATGGGGCAGGAGAGAGGGAGTGTTGTTGAGACTAAAAGGACCAGCGTCAAACTATTTATAGTGCTTCTGGGCTTGTAATTCATTGGCCCCTCCGCTTCAAAGCTGAAGTTGGGCTAGAGAGTGCATCAGTGGTGGGAATCAGGCCAGTCCTGCTATAAGACACACATATAACTTCCCAAGCATTTATTGACTGTAGGGTTATGAAGCTACTGTCTAGTATGGAGAGTGAGTTGTAAGGTCACAAGGTCGTCATTTAAATTTAAAATAGAGGATTTCTTATGGACAGTTATCATTGATTACTGTTTTCTTCCGTTAACCAGGATGAAGAAGTTGGCTTCTGTTTAAGAGTCATATTATATGAAAAATGCCTTAATCACTTAATCCTTCCTAGACTCTCATTCCACATGGCAAGAGTTTAGGCTGTTGGAATCCCTCTCTTACCTTACAGAATATTTTGGTTTTGCTTTTGTTTCAGAAGTACTAGGGATTAAACCTAGGGCCTTTACACTGAGCTACATCCTCAGCCTTTTTTTATTTTTTATTTTAAGGTAGGGTCTCACTAAGTCACCCAGACTGGGCTCAAACTTGTGATCCTCCTGCCTCAGCCTCCCAGAGTGCTGGGATTAGAGGTGTACACAACCACTATCAGCTTCAGTTTCTTGAGCTCAAACTGAATTGAATTTACTATTTTAATTAGTGTATTCTTTTGGTTTCTCCCTCGCCACATGAAGATGGTTGAATTGTAAGTTCTGGTTGTTTTTGATTTGAGATTGGGCCTGACCTGAACCCTTGTGTTCAGTTGGGGTTGCTGTGTTCCAGCCTGTTTACCTCTTCTCCACTGGTTGAAATACCAGTTGTAGCAAAAGAAGTAGTGATCTGGGAGGCTTGTGCTAAGTGGTCTTCAAATCCATGTGTCCCTCACAGGATCATATAGATGGTTACGGATTCTCTGGGCCTGTTACTTACATTCACATTCATTGTGTGACCCACCCCAGAAATTACATTTGCTTCAGAATGCTGACCACTGGCACCTTCCAAACCTGCACCAAAGAGGAGCACACATGTCAGCATGTAGGTGTTTATCAGATGCAGTGCTGGAGTCTGCAGACTTTCTCTGTTTCTCTTTAAATGCCTACTGCTGTGATATCAACAGCATACGTGTCCCGGGGGGAGGTGGCTAGAGAGACTGGACCTCAGGCCCTGCCATTTACCTAATGAATTAGAATCCATATTTAAGTAGCTGGGATTCTTCTCAGCTGATGTGGATCATAGCTTAGAATAACCATTGGTTTATGTGGTATAATCTGTTGGGAATTGCTGTCCTCAGTGGTGCTGCTGAACTTCATTTGTCAAGTATCAAAACAGCCTGGCATGGTGGTGCACACCTGTAATCCCAGCTACCCTCAAGAGGCTGAGGCAGGAGGATCACAAGTACAAGGCCAGCCTGGACAATTTAGCAAGCTCCTGCTTCAAAACAAAAATTTTTAAGTCTGAAGATATAGCTTAGTGGCAGAGCACTTGCCTCACATAGGTAAAGCCCTAGGTTTGATCTCCATTACCAAAAAAAGGGGCAAATGATTGAGGAAATAACTTATTTTAAATAAAGGGTTAGAATTTATTCTTAAAATGGAGATAGCACAGTAAAAGAAAAAGGTGATAATATTTAAGAGTTAATTTAATCTGACAAAAATGAATTCACTTTGGCCAAAAACTTACTTTCTTAATTGGATGAAGACATTTTATATGACTTGTTTTAAGAAGTGAATTTTGGAGCTGGGCTCTATGGCGTACACCTGCAATCCCAGCATTCAGGAGGCTGAGGCAGGAAGATTGCAAGTTCAAGGCCAGGCTGGGCTATGGAGTAAGACCTTGTCTTTAAAAAAAAACAAAAAAAGTTTTCTGTCTTTTTGAGGTTACTTTGCTTTTGGTGGAGGGTTGATGAAGGGAGGAGAAACAATTATAACAAGTAGAGTTAAAATTGTCTTCAGTAATACTATTGAAGTGACTTCTACATTTTGTCTACTACATTTTGTCTACAGAAAATCTGTCTGTCCAAGACCAGACACCTATGTTGGAAGGTGAATTGGTTGTAAAATATACCTTTGAAAATCTTTGAATCACTGAATACAGTTGATGAATGGACATTAATAGTAATGCATGTGAGCTGCAAAGATGATGATGTCCTAAATCTGATCTGTGTCTTTTATCATTTGGCATCTTAATTGAATCAAATTTTACAGTTGATTGGATTTACGTGACAAATAGCTTTAAATCATAAAAGCTGTTTACTTTATATAGACATAAAGATAATTATACCAAGATTGTCTTAGACAGTTAAGATTGGTGGTGATGGGAGAGATTCCAATGATTAACTTGTATGTGACCAGCAGTTTAAGAATTTTTAAGCAGGCAACAGCATGTGATTTAGTATTGTGTGTTTAACTCTAGCGTTTTGAGCCTTATTTGGCATTCTATCTCCTAGTAAACATGTAAGAAATTAATTCTCTTTTCAAAATCAAAGCAAATAAGTACATGGTTAGATCTGTAGTTTTAAAAGTTTCTTTGACATTGTTCATGTACCACAGTATCTGGTTGCTCAGCTATTTGTTGTGACTTAATATCATACATATCAGTTAAACAAGTAAAAGTGAAAATATTGAAAGAAAATTTATTGGAAGTGGAGTAAGTCTTTTTATCTGTGTATTCACACATAAACTGAGGGGTTTTTTTTAGCAACTATCTGGTTCCTTATAGAAAATATTGAAACTCACACTTAAAGACATGTAAAATTACTATATTGTGGTTTTTAAAGTATCCTATTTCCAGAATGTTTGATTTCTTTTTTCTTTGAAGGTATTGGTATTAAAACAATGAGTTCTGCTACTAGTGTCCATTTTTCACTTTGAGATGATAGAGCGCTCTCTGTGTGTTTGGGAGGAACAATACTATATAATGCCTGAAAAGATATTTGAATGCTTTTTTTCTACTTTAGAAGTAGTTCCTAAGGCAAAGATGATAAAAATTACCAGTGTCATATAGATATAGTTGGGCTGGATTTTTGTTTTGTTTTGTTTTTGGTACTGGGGAATCGAACTCAGGACCTTGTGCTTGTGAGGCAGACAGCTGCACCACTGAGCTAAATCCCCAGCCCAGGACTGTTTTGTTTTTTTAATTGTATTTCTACTATGTTTAGAGTATTTGTAGATGATTCGTTTGAGTTGAATTGCTCTTTTGGCAAGGAAGAAATTGCTACCTTTATTCTTTTTTGGATGTTGGATACATCAGAAGACTTTTTTTAGAAGACTGGTGATTTACTTTTTCTTCATTCAGAAAAAAATAATACATATATTTATAAGCTGTGCACTAGTATAGCTATAAAGACTTCATTGTGCTTAAGTGTAGAACAGCTTTTCCCTTTAAATTCAGGTAATATCTAGGTACCTTGCCTACTAAGCCCAGGCTTTGTGACTATTAAAGGTATGAGTTTGAGAATCCAAGGTTATGCAGTGAACCCCACAACTCAGTTGGTAAAACCTATGTGACAGTTATTCAGTTAAGGCAGTTATGGCAGAATTCGAAGTGTTAGATGACTTTCATTTTCTTCCTTTAAATATTCTAAAGGAAAATGTCCTGTGTTACCTATTTCAGGTTCTCAGAATGGTTGGAATGACCCCCCTGCTTTGAACAGAGTGCCCAAGAAGAAGAAGGTACCAGAGCAAGATGCCGACCCATGGCCTCCAGATCTTTTGGGGTCACATAGTCACCCAAGCAGACCACATTTCACTGATTCTTTCAGAGGCAAAGCTTACTGATTGATGTGTTCAGAATGTATTTCTTCATGTGTCTTCTAATCCATGCGAGAAAGAAAGTAGAAAATAGTAGCTGTAAAACTTTGCTCTGTAAATTAAAGCCCTTTTAGAAGACAAGATGTAAATTCTTAGCAGGCCTCTTTCAAAAAGTAGGAAATGAAATTTCAGGCTTTACAAATTTTTTTAAAGGCATTACTTTGGTCTTTGGGTTCCAGCAATAATTATGACTTTATATTTTGGAATTTTTGTGTATCACATAAAATAATGAATGAAGAAATAGCCTTATAGTTGAGCGTTGTTTTGTACATCAGTAATTGTTAAAAGCTATTTGTGTACAAAATAAGATTTTCCTTTCATTCTTTCTTTGCAAACCATTTCTGCTTTTTATTCCTAGTGATTCTTTTGCCCTAAATGTAGTAATGAGAAGCCATAACATACAGTTGGGAGACATTAAATGAGCAGTGAAACCCAAAATACAGCTTAGTGTAATAATCAGAAACTTAATCTCCACTTTTAGTGTCAGAATTGTCAGGTAGTATCTACCTAGTGACCTAGGAAAGGGGTATTAAATTACATTATGATGAGCTGGGCTTGGTGGCACACACCTGTAATCCCAGCATTCTGGGAGCCTGAAGCAGGAGCACAAGTTTGAGCCAAGCCTGGGCAACTAAGCAAGACCCTGTCTCACAATAAAAAATAAAGGACTGGGATGTAGCTCAGTGTGCAGGCCTTGGGTTCAATTCCCAGTCCCATCCAAAAAGGCCAAAAAACCCCACTCATTATAACATTAGACATCAGTACATCTTGACTTCCATATTGCTAGATATAGTTCTCCAGACTTGCCCTCCTCTTTCAGAAATACTATGGTTTCCTGGCAAGCACAAGGTCCTGAGTTTAATTCCTGGTACCAAAAAAATAGAAAGGGTATGGTATGGTATGGTTTTAGGAGTAACAAGGGTAGAAGAGGTCCAGGTTTGAGTTCCTTCTACTTCTTTTTTTGTTTTTTTTGGTACTGGGGATCGAACTCAGGACCTTACACTTGCAAGACAGGCATGGTGCCACTGACCTAAATTCCCAGCCCAGTTCCTTATACTTCTTAGCCAATTTAGCTTTACTTTTATGTTTCACTCTAGAATTCTACATAAAATTTCATTGGCGAAAAAGAATTCTAACTACTATTAAATTTTTTTTAAAATCATAGAATATTCTAACTCCATTTTTTTTTTTTTTTTTTTTTTTTTTGAGACTGGGTCTTGCTATGTAATTCAGGCTGGCCTTGAACTCCTGGTCATCTTCCTGCCTCAGCCTCCCAAGTGCTGGGATTATAGGTGTGCACCACCATGCCTGGCCATATCCTTTTTCTTTTTATTCTCAGTGTCTTTTCTTTTCATGTTTTGAAAGATGCCTGAAAACTTCATGCCTCCTATTCCCATCACGTCGCCAATCATGAACCCTCTGGGTGACCCCCAGTCACAGATGCTACAGCAGCAACCTCCAGCTTCAGGGCCACTGTCAAACCAAGCTTCCTACCCACAGCCGCACCCCCTGGGTGGCCAGCCATTCCACAGCCTGCAGCAGCCTCTCGGCCAGACCAGTGTGCCTGCATCTTTCCCAAAGCCCAACATTGAGGGTGCCCCAGGGGCTCCGATTGGAAATACCATCCAGGTAACATGGAATGGGAAGATGGTACATTTGCTTTAATGTGTTAACTTTTATTTATGATTATACCATTATTAGTGAATATCTAAATTTGGTTTCAATGTAGACAACCCAAATAAAAAGTGGTAACCCTCTTTTTACAGATTGCTCATATAGGTATATTATTTTGCAATTACATGACCACATACAAACTCTGGAAGAGAGTTACATGTTTGAGAGTGACTGTTTACTATAACTTGGCAAATGCAGTATTTTACTTGATTTAGTTCAAGCCACAATTTTAAGATTGGTTGAATCATCTCTGAACCTGAGGTTGCTAAGCAAATGCTGTTTTCAAAGGTTTTTCTCTTTATTCAATAAAGATGTAATCAGTTATATTTGATATATGTGTAAAAACTAATAACATAGCCTTATCTTTGGATGGAGATACACATTTTTACTTGCATTTCACACAAACAGCTAGTTGGCAAAGTCTTAGGTGTTGAAGAATTAACATTTTCAAATAATTGGCTTACACCTACAAAGATATTTTTCCAGGTATGGTGGCACATGCCTGTAATCCTAGCTACTTGGAAAGCTAAGACAGGAGGATCACAAGTTTAAAGCCAACCAAGGCAGTTTAGAGAGACCCTGTCTCAAAATAAACAGAAAACATCTGAGTTTACATATAGCTGAGTGGTAGAGTGCTATACGTACAAGGCCCTGGGTTCAATCCCCTATACCAAAAAAATATATTTTATCTGTTCATAAAAAGTAAAGTGCATGGATCAAAGTTCAACATCAAGAATATGAAATAAATTCTCCCAGGAGCTATGATGCGTGCCTCTACTCCCAGCTGCTCAGGAGACTGATGCAGGAGTGTTGGAAGCATTGGAAGGAGCATGGATAATTTAGTGAGACCTTGTCTCAAAAGTTTAAAAAAGGCTTGGATATAGCTCAGTGGTAGAGCACTTACCAAGCAAGCATGAGGCACTGGGTTCAGTCCCCAGCACCCCCCCCCCCCAAAAGAGCGAGAATATGAAATTTCTGCACAAGTAAAACAACTAACTTTATACTTGTTTTGTTTAGCTTTCTGAGACTGGGTCTCACTATGTAGTTCAGGCTGGTCTTGAACTCACTATGTGGCCCAAGCTGGCCTCAAACTTGAGGCGATCCTCTTACCTCAGCCTCCCAAGTGTTGGGATCAGAGGCATGCACTGCCACACCCAGTTCTTGTTTTTTTGTTGTTTTGTTTTGGTACAGGGGATCAAACTCAGGACCTTGTGCTTGGGAGGCAGGCACCAGTGCCACTGAGCTAAATCCCCAGCTCACACCCAGTTCTTTGACTTGTTTTATGTTCAGTTTATAAAGATTATATATATCTATCACAAGAGTATGATTTACAGTTAAAAGATCATTGTTGGGGCTGAGACTCTCTCCCACACCCAGTCTTCTTTACCTCTTTCCTTTCTCGGTGAATGACCCCCATCGTCATTTTTGTGGAATTCAGAAAAGACTGAGGAATAATCTTTATACTCTTTTCCCTTTAACTGGTAAAGGGGTGTCCAACCTACAGGCTGCTTGCCTTCTTTTTTTTAATGTTGTAATACACATATTAAAAAATAAAGGAAATTTTGTTACTTATGTATATTAACTGTATTATATACTTTATATGTGACCCAAGACAATTTCTCTTAACTCAGTATGATCTTGGCAAGCCAAAAAGTTGATACCCATATAAAAAAAATCCTCCAAACCTTGTTGATATTAAAAGTATTTCTTGAATCCCTTCTCAGCATTTCTGTTCTGATCCATGCTATTTTTCTTCAATTTCACTAATGCAGGAGCCTCCTGATTAGTCTGCCATCATCTGCCTTGATCGATCTCTAATTTGGCCTTATCTCTTCTTTGCTTAGAATATCACTGCTTTCCATTGTTCTTGGGATAAAGACCAAACTATTTATGAATGCCTCAGCTCATACTTCTTGTTCTGTCTCTGCTCTAACTACACTGGGCTCCTTTTAGTCCCCTTATTTCATGAGCCTTCTATATGAAATGATTTTCCTTTCCCACTTAATTGTTTAGTGCTTTTCAATTTATTTATTTATTTATTTATTTATTTATTTATTTATTTATTCTTAATTTTGAGACAGGATCTTGCTAAGTTATTCAAGCTGGCCTCAGGCTTTCAATCCTCCCAGCCTCAGCCTTCTGTGTGCTGGGATCTAGCCAGCTATTTTTGAATAAATAAAAGAATAATCTAGTAATTAAAAATTTAGAAAACTTTAATGTTTCTCTTTGTTCTTCCATGTATATATTCAGCAACATTTTTTCTATTCTGAAACTTTGGCTTAATGTTTTTTTTTAATAACTTTATTATCAAAAACACATACAAAAATTAAAACCATTCAAAGAAGAACAATGCAAGGGAGAAAAAATTACAGTAATATTCAAATACAGTAGAACTCAACCAAAACAAAACTGAAAAGCACTTAAACATTTTTCCATATAACTTAAAAAAACATCTCAAGCTCCAACAAGACACCAGAGGATGTGATTTGTTTCAGAAAGATCTCCAAAACCAACATTGAGCAAATAGTGGTCTGAAAAAAACTCCAGTTACTTAGCAGACTCCACATAAGCCAAGCTTCTCCCTAACTTAAATTTTGATGCAGTCATATGACACGTGATGGAAACACAATCCAAGAAATATGTTATTAGGCCATTTCATCCGTGTGTATCCTTATTTACACTTTCAGTTTCTCACACTAGAGAAACTATTCGGTATTTACACGTGTGTCCTATT